TTATTATTATTATTATTATTATTATTATTATTATTATTATTATTATTATTATTATTATTATTATACCATGGTATATTCATTATCCATTCAAAGTGGGGACTGAGGAGAGGCATATTATTTGGCCTGTAACCTAAAGGTGCTTTGCAAGGAATATTTCTGTGCCATCCCTGAAAATACATAAGCTGCAAATGAAACATTTAAGGTTCTAGAAGATTCACCAGATCATCACCTTGCTGTTGATCTGGAAAACCACAGCTGACAATTGTGGTTCATACTGCAGCAGAACCCATATGTCAGAAAACATCTTTTATTGCAGTTCCTTCTAGAATATTTCAACAACTCTCTTCCCTAGAATTCTTGGCCACAATCATTCTGAATTCTTAGCAATCCAACTTTTTTAGCAAACACTCCCCATTGCCTCCTGCCAGTTCATAACTCTAAAACAGATATCCCCAACAAGTGTGCTTTAGATATTTTGCAATAAAACCTCTATAACCCCCAAGCAGAAAGCATTGGAATAATGAAAGCAATGGGTCAGCAAGGCTGGAAATTAAATCTGCCTCAACCTTCCTTTCTCATCTTTGTTTGTCAGTTGCATTTAATACCCAGTGAAATCAATGGGAGTTGAGAGATAATTAATTTCTCATTGATTTCATTGAGATTTGTACAACTAATGTTTAGATCAAGAACGCTCACTGCAATAGAATATGGGAAGATGCTGAATGAAGAATATGAAAGGCTTCTTATTGCAGGCATCTCAGGAATCTGCATATCTTTTCTGCATTTTAGACCCATAAGGATTCTTTATACTTTTGGAACATTGAATATAGCTTTTGTTCCATCATGGAGGTAAAAATGTATTTGGGGGTTCCCACATGCTCTTTCCAGCTAGGAATCAATCAGACAGTCTATTGCACATTTGGGGATATTAGCTGTATTGTTGTGTTGCATATCATACTCTGGAATTATTTTTTTCCATATGGAGTGTAATTAAATTGAAATATATATGGGTATCCAATTTCTCATAACCCATAATTATACAAACATTTTATATTTTCCTGTAGAAAGTCAAACCCTTCATATATGTATAGGATATTGATTTGGGGTTTCATGTTGCTAATCTAAGTAGAGAATACCATTGCCAATACAACTGATTTATGGGGCACTGATGATGTTAGGGAAATATACTAAACTGAAAAAGGAATCATTAAAGCTGGTAAAACAGGGAAATTAAGAAAGAATGCTATGGAATTACTGAGCTTTCCATGGTTCAGTGATAGGCGTTATTTATAAGTAGACATAGATTCCAGAGGAAATGATATTGACTTCATTGAATGGGTAAGACGGCTAGAGAAGATAGTACCAAGTCTAATTATGTAGCTGTTGCTTTTACAGGATAGTGTGCATAGAGCATAGCAATAATTGTAATCTTTTGCTTTCTATTTTCCATGTTGTACTCATTGTTGTTTTGTTTCTCTTTCTTTTTTCCTTGTACTCCATCTGCCACTGGACAAATACCTGGTAAGTATCTTCTGATGTCACTTCAGAAGAATGGGTAGCAAAAAATACTGGCAATTGGGAAGAGGGTAATCATGTCTCTTATGGGCATGTTGCTAGCTACTGAAGCTTGGTGGCCCTTACTGGTATTTTTCATATCTATATAGTAGGAATTGTCAATCTTTTCAAGCATCAGATACCTGTCCTTTTGAGATTTTTTTCCAAAATGTCTAAGCTCATGTGAATTTCATAAGCTTTATACTGGAATCATGCATCGTAATTAGCAGATGATACAAAAGGGGGTAAAATAGGGTATAGATTAGAAAACAGAAGCTGCATTCACAATTTTCTTTGTATGTGAAAAAGGTGGATTGAAAAATAAAATAAAAAATAGAGGCGGGGAGAGAGAGGAGGAGAGGGAGTAGTGGTGGGATTCAGTCGGTTTGCACAGGTTTGCACCACTTCGGCAGAACCAGTGGTTAATTTTTTGTTGCCCAGGCCCAGAATGGACTTCTGTAAGCAGCATCCACCCAGAGAACTGGTTGTTCACATATTTGAATCCCACCACTGGGAGAAAGGGAAAGAGGAGAGGAGAGGAGAGACAAATGCAAAGTTCTGCCCTTTGGGAAAAAGCAACTAAATACACAGGAGATAGAAATAGGAATGAAATGTACAAATGAAGACTTTCTTAGAGTTATAAGTGATCACAAGTTGAATGTGAGTCAGCAGTGTGACACAACTGCCAAAAAAAAATTAATTGCAATTTTAGGTGCATTAATAGAGTTTACATTTTAAATCAGAGGCACCAATAGTCCTATCACAATCTGTATCAGTCAAATCCAATCTCAAATACTGCATGAGGTTCTGGTCACCAAATTTTAAGAAAGATTCAGAGAACTTTATAGAGAAATAAGGGAATGAGAGAAGATGGCATGCAGGACTATGATAGCATTTTTCAAGTCCATGAAAATGTGTAATAAGTAAGATCAAAATCATTCCTCTGTATTCCTGCAGTACACAAGATGGAATAACATGAAGCAAGTCATGGTTCAAGATCATGCTCTAAAAGCAGTTTAGAGTGGAATTGTACAATTGTAATCTCATGAAGTGTGGTTTTCAGTTTTGGGATGGGAGACTTCAGTGCCATTTTAAGATTCAATGAGCATCCTGGATCTTGTGGATATTCTTTTGTGATTCCTGCTTTCTATTAACTAACCAAGAAAGGTGGGATTAGACCAGTGATGGCGAACCTTTTAGAGATCGAGTGCCCAAACTGCAACCCAAAACCCACTTATTTATCACTGGGTGCTGGGTGGGCGTGGCCCACTGAGTAGGTGTGGCTGCGGTGATCACGGCAGACTGGGTGGGTGTGGCCGGGGTGGGCGTGGCCACCTTGATGTTGCTCATGGGAAGGGATGCCTGTGGAGGCAGGGCAGGGTTGGGGGCGATCCAGGGCGTCTCTGGTGGGTAGGGAGGTGGGCAGGAGGCTCGTCCTGTGGGGTGGGGTGAGGTGAGGTGAGGCAGGGCGGGGGTACCAATTGCTACAGGGCAAAGCGAGGGAGGGGCTGGGGCAGCTGCTGCCTGACACAATCGGCTCCCGCACACACAGGCCAGCGAGCGCATGGGGGCTGACAGTGTTTGTCAGCAGCCACAGCTTGCCAACTGTCCTGCATCATGGCGAACTGGCCACGGAGCTCCATTGGCGTGGGCGGAGATGGCCTCAGGATGGCCAGAAGGAAGCCCTTGCCCGGCCTGGGCCCCGTCCACTCGATGACTCTGATGGGGGTTGCTACTGCTGCTGCTCCGACCGGCCAACCATGCAGGGAAGCAGGAAGAGGTGGAGGAGCAGCTTGGGGTCTGGAGCCATCTCAGCTGCTCGCTGGCTGCAGCCGGCCTGCCTCAGCAGCTTGATGAGGCAACAGATCTCGCACACCGGCTCCCCTCCACCTCCTCCAGCTTCCCTGCATGGTTGGCCGGTCGGAGCAGCAGCAACTGCCCCTGTCAGAGCCATCGAGTGGATGGGGCCCAGGCCAGACAAGGGCTTCCTTCCGGCTGTCCCGGGGCCATCTCCGCCCATGCCGATGGGGCTCCATGGCCAGTTCGCCATGATGCAGGACAGCCAGTAGGCTGTGGCTACTGACAGACACTGTTAGCCCCCATGCGCTCGCTGGCCTTTGTGTGCGGGGGCCGATGGTGTCAGGCAGCAGATCCAGAAGCAAAGCTGTGCCACCCATCCTTGTGCTGGTGGGGCAGCGGCAGCGGAGGAAGGTGGGATCTGGTGTGTGCCCACCCTTCACTGCTGCCGCCCCACATCGTCCCGCATGTGCCTCCGGGACATGTGTGTGGGACGATGTGGAGTGGCTGCGGCAAGGGGTGGGTGTATGCCACAGCTTGCCTTCCCCTGCCGCTGCCCCCACTAGCCCAAGGATGGGCAACACAGTTTCACTGCCAGACGGGCATGGCGATGCAGGGATCACTACAGCCGCTTCCTGCCCAAGTGCCGCTGCCCCACGAGGCTGGGCAGCCAGTGTGCAAGATCTGCTGCCTCATCGGGCTGCTGAGGTGGGGCCAGCTGCAGCCAGCGAGCAGCTGAGGTGGCTCCAGACACCTGGAGGCCTCTCCTCTTCCTCCTGCTTCCCTGCATGGTTGGCTGGTCGAGGGGCTTGGAGCAGCAGGAGCAGCAGCAACCGCCGCCCCCATCAGAGCTGCTGTGTGGACAGGGCCCATACCGGGTGAAGGCTCCCTTCCGGCTGTCCCGGGGCCATTTCCACCCACGCCAATGGGGCTGCACTGTGGAAGGGAAATGGTGGCGGCTCTGATTTCCCCTTGCTGGCTGCCCCCCAACTCCCTGCCCGGTGCCCCTCCTATGCAATCCTACGTGACTGCAGTGTGGATGAGAGGCTCAGCTGGCAAGGGGGGATGACTTTCCTCCGCGAAGGTGTCCCGGCCTTCATGCCCCCCTAGCCAGATCCCCTAGCCTTCCCCCAGCCGGGACCTGATAACCCCCCCACCCTCCTGCACCCACCCCAGTCCGAGACTCCTGCAACCACCCCGAACCATACCCTCCTGTCTCCCTAGCTGGGACCTCCAGCAATTCCACAACTGGGAGCTCCTGCCCCCATCCCAGCCAACCCCCCTGAGCAGCTCACCCCAATCAAGACGGAGGGAAGGCAAGGCAGAGAACCGGTTGTTAAATGATTTGAAACTCACCACAAGTCGCTTCAAAAGGCCACTCACTCACTCTCCCGATAAAACCTGCTCCTTTTATAGGTTCCCCTCTCCCTGCCCGGCTCGCAGCTGTTCCTGGACTCCACATGCATAGAGAGGGGAAGGAGAGCAGCCCGGCCCTGCGTCCCTCTATCTGGGGCAAAAGTGCGCGTGCCCACAGAGAGGGCTCTGAATGCCACCTCTGGCACATGTGCTAGAGGTTCGCCACCAGTGGATTAGACTTTCCCTTACTATCTTTTTTTTCTTTCTTGACAGGTGTTTTTTTCCCAATTCAGGAGTGGGAGAGGGCTCAGCAAGCAGCTGGAGGCTCCTTTGAGGGTGGGCTTGATGGTTCGGATGAGGATGAACGTGATCCTCTCTTCAGCTCAGCTGATCTGCTGTCTCCCAGCGGACAGGCTGATGTACAGACCTTGGCCATCATGCTACAAGAGCAGCTGGAAGCCATTAACAAAGAGATCAAGTGAGTTGTCCTAGCCAGACATAGAGCAGATACCTGTTCCTGAATTATAGCTCTCTACTCCTTGCTTGACCCAGATTTCTTTGTGCCTTACGTTTTCTCTTGAAACTATTTAATAATTTTATGGCTTTCCCTAAGTACAATGCCCTGTGTTTTCAGCACATGCCCCAAGCGTAGAAAATCTTTATATGAGAACCATGTCAAGAGAGTTCTGATTTAGTCCCTGAACAGACCATTTTTTTCCTTTTAAATGTTCTATTTTCCTTAGGTGATATGATAGCCAGCACCTTACATTGCATCCAAAGAAAGGGTCTCTTTATTGATGGTGCTAGAGGAATATCAAAAGCAATATCCCTTACATATATAGGATACAGAATTGTTTCTCAACTTGAGCAATTTTAAGATGTCTTATTATTATTTACAATTATTTTATATATTGCTCTACATCACAAAGGCAAATAACCAGTGAATTATGGAATACATTCATTGTCTAAATGAAGCACAATACTTCCATTTAATTTCACACATTGCTTGTAGATTATACTGCAAGTGTAATTTATAGAAAAGAAGGTAAAACACATTACCCTGATCATCTACAACTTATCATATTTTTTCTTTGCTGGCTATATAAGACTGATCCAAGAAGAGAAAGAATCTACCGAACAGCGAGCAGAGGAGATTGAGAGCCGAGTAACCAGTGCCAGTCTGGATGGATCCTTGGGGCGCTACCGTTCAGGCACTTCCATTCCTCCCTCTGTCACCAGTTCAACTCTTGCCAGCCCTTCTCCCCCCAGCAGTGGCCATTCTACACCTCGCTTGGCACCCCACAGTCCTGCTCGTGATGGAGAAAAAATGGTACATTGTAAATTCGTCTGGGCAGGAGACTGCATGTAGCTGCATTCTAAACAGTTGTTTCATTGCAGAAGCATTGATGTTAATCACCAAAGGGTGTACTTTATTGGGTTAGGATGTTCAACTAGGACTATAAAAACTCAGGTTCCATTTTCAGGTATGGAGTCCCAAGTCATTGTTTCTCAATCTCACAGGGTTCTTGTTGTGGAGAACAAGGGAGAAGGGGCTCATAATGCATGTACATGTACATGCACATCCTTTCTTTTGCTCACATATCAAATATTTTACCCACTTCACATCCCTCTTCCTCTTCCCAACCTACTGCAGATATGTAGGAGCAAGAATGTAGTGATCTATTCCCCAGCAGTTGGTTGATTATCTTCTGATGGAGCCAATATATTTATCAATAATAAAAGAAAATGCCAGTTTACTTCTGGTGGCTCCTTGACCTTGTTCACCAACTATCCAGTAGAAGACTGGCCAGGACTCTATCTACTTCCAGAATGCACATATTTTGTTTTTCAAGGGCTCCATGTCTCCAGGTCACAGGTTGTCCACTTGGGATTGTGCAGTGCAGTCCCAGTTCTTCAAGAGTACAGAGATCTTTCCCCATCTTATAATTTAGCTATAAGTGTTAGGGAATAAATCCCAGTTTTCAAGGTTCCAAATACTGGATTTGAAGGCAATTAAAAAAAGTTTATCTGACCTCTAAAGTGGCCATTATTAGAAACAGTAGAGGTTAGATAGGCCCTTGGCTTGCTTTGCTCAGCTTTCTCTTTTTGTGGGCAAATGTCACTTGTTGAAAACAAAATCTTTCTTTAATTGTTTAATTACTTGTTGTGCATGTGTGCTTAGAGCTTATTATCATGTTGCAATAATCTGAAGGACATCAAAGAGAGGTGTATAAAAGAATCTAATTTATGAATAGTTAGTTGAACTAAATTACTTTTAGATCGAATGTAGTCCAGGGTTGGCTAAATTTATGCTTCTTAAATTAGTAAGGGTTTTGTACAAGATGTACCCTCAATACATGCTCAGTCTATAAAATGATCTAATTACAGAATTAATTTTTAGGTCTTCTGGCTGCAAATCCTGATTTTCTCATAAACTTCAGCAGTAGCCAATTTTAGAGCAATACTGTCAAATTCTTGTTGAGATTGTTAAACAAGGAATCAAAATCATCTGCAGTGTTGCCACAATTTACAAGGAGATTTAAAAATGAGATACTATATTGCACAATTAGATCCCTGATGAGTTTGTGACCTTCATTCCTGTGCAACTTGAGACGCTCCCAGAGAGCAGCATCTTCCTCCCCACCTGACAACAGTGACAAATGGATTGTTTTTTGTACCATTTTCTCCTCCCGGCAGAACCATGTTGCCAAGGAAGAGATGCGAAGCTCTGAGGAGAAGGCCTTAGCGTTATGTGAGCCCCCAACACCCGCAACCCCCCGTACAATGCGTCTTGAGCGTATGACTCAAGCATTAGCTCTACAGGCTGGAGCACTGGAAGATGGCAGGGACCTGAGAACCAGGTAATTGCAAAACCCTAGTGGGTCTTGCGGGGAGGAATGTGAGAAATGAGGTAGAGCATGAAGTGCAGGGGCTGACATTTTATGTTTTAAGGATGTGCCAGAAAGGAATGAACAGGCCAGATAGTCAGGTATCCTGCCTCAAAAAGGCGCACAGCTGAGTTCCGCAACCTGGACAGATGGATTTATTATAATTGTACCTAGTTGGGCTTAATTATATTAGAACAAAGTGTCAAATTCCAACTTCTAGGCTCAAAACTGTTGCTTTATTAGAATTGCAACGTTCAACCAAAATGAAGGTGAGTTCCCTACCATGTGTCTGGCTGCTTGATTGTTCCTTGGGCTCCTGGCCTCACTGTCCCTTGGGCCCCAGTTGCCCTTGGAACCAGCCTCTTAGCTGTTTTTCAGGCTGACCGCTTTACTGCTCTTTAAGCTGACCCTCACCTCTTCTTCAGCAGGCTACTCAGCTGATCTGCAGGCCATCCACCATCAGCTTTGCTCCTTGCTTAGCTATGCCAAGTCACTCAACTCCCTAGCTGCTGCTCATCTGTCTGATTAATTCTTCCAGGGGTCAGACAGTTATCTAGATCTTTCTCTGGCTGGTCAGTAATTCAGTTTGTTCCCCAGGCTGATCTTGGGCTTCAGACTGTCAAGTTGTTTCCCTGCTATGCTGCCACCCAGCTGATTGCCCCCACCACCACTCAGATATTCCCAGTGGCTCCGATGTTTCTTGGCATTTCCTAGTGTCTCGTCAGGGGTCTCAAACCCCAGGACAGACAGACAGTTGTTCCCCTATTCCATTGGCACCTAGTCGATCATTGTTGCTGCCGCTGCTGCTCAGCTGTTTTCAAGCAGCTTTATTCCTCCTGACATCTTATGGATAGGGCTTGTTGGCTTGGTAAATCACAGTTTACTGCCAGTTTGATTCTTAGTTCTTCCAGGCATCTTGATCAGCAGTGCTCTGTGACAGATCCTAGACTCAGGGAGACCCAGGAAAAGCTCTCCTCACAAAACAGGCAAAACAAGCAGGCTCCTCACAAAGTAGGCAGGCAGGCAGGCAGGCAACATTCCACATGAAAATCTATTTCTGGTTTTTCCACTGCCTACTTAAATTCCACTGAATTCTGCACAGAACCTTTGAATTGAACCTATAAAAACTATACATTAAATGAATGAAGGAATGAATGAACATGCATTCATACTTGAATTACTATGTATTTATTTTTCTTGGTTTAAGCTACCTAATTTGGGGCTTTTAAAACAGATTGTTTTAGTTTTTATTTTTTTAAAGGTTTGGTATTGAAAATCCTTGACTGACCTACTACAGGCCTCCCTAAGTTCTAATACTAGGTTCTACCCAACCGTTTCCGACACTGTTGTATGGCTGAAATTGTGCTTCAGGAAGAGATTTGTTTTGAAGAAAGAATTAGTTGCTAGAGAAAAAGAGACTAAAAAGTGCAGGTTTGAGTAAAAGATTGTGTGGTACAAAGACAAAGCAGAACTTTAAGGTCTGAGTTCACTCAAGACACTTATGTGCAGATTTTAGTTTATATACCATACTATTCCCAAATAAATAAATATGGTTATGATGTCACCTTATATCATACATGTCAAACGTGTGATGTCACGTGACGTTGCGCAACGTATCGGAGCTTTTTTGCCATTGCCAGCAATGGGGTGGGCGCAGCTCTGTTATGATGAAACCGGCCCGTGGGCCGGCAGTTTGACACCCCTGCCTTATATGTTTAGATCTTAGTTGGGTCTCCAAGCACACTAACCTAACTATTTTGTCTTAGATTAGTATCTTATACCAACTCAATCCAGGAGGCAATTTTAATATTCGGACAACTTATTGCTGTCCTTTTTCTTATGCTATCCAAATAGTATTTCTAACTCTGATTCTTTCCTTTGTCACAGTCTGGGGACAGATGGCACGAATAGCAGTCAGGATTCTCTACACAAGTCCACCAAGAAAAAAAGCATCAAATCTTCCATCGGGCGTCTCTTCGGCAAGAAAGAGAAAGGGAGGCTGGGGCAGTTGGGCCGTGAGTCCCCCTCACTTGGTATGCTTTCCCCACCCACAGACTCAGATTGATCTTTTTTCTCCCAGAACAAGCCCCAGTCCTTTCCTGTAAATGTAATTCTATCTCTATATCCCTGTGACCAAAGCTTAATCCAGCACATCTGGAGCACATCAAGTTCAGAAAGACTACTCACAATTTGGCTTTTCTGTCTCTTGCCAAACACACTCTGTAACAATTGTGGGGGGGGGGGAGAGAAACCCTCTTGCCTTGCTTGAGAACCCTGCCCTCGGCTCCTTTTAACTTTTGGCTGCACTGATCTTATTGGAATGAGCAACATGGATGCGGCCCAAAGATTCTTCTCTGCTATTTCCAGTCTGTGATTTTCACCACATGGAGAGAAGTATCTGTATAGGAATTCCCTCTTGAAACTAAAGACAGTTAATGGAGGCCATGATGTGTTTTTCCCTGTTTAATTGTCCATCTTTCTTGACAGCTGGGACACCATCTGATGAGATGTCACCTGCAGACCCCCTGGGCCTTTCCAAACTCTCAGGACCTGTGGACAAGGATCGTAGGAACAAAAAGAAGTAAGAACAGGGATGAAAAAGAGGACTGATAGAGATTACATAGATTTGCACCTGCACAAATCCAGCTTGGCTTGTGGAGTCACTAGGTGGTAGCTGGAGGAAGTAGTACTGCACTTGTGTTTGCAAAATGGGAATAACTATCTGTAGAATTATAATATTGAATGTTAAATGGTTGTTATGCAGGCATCCATTTATTTAGCACATGGTATATCATACGTAGTATTGCAATATATATTAACATTTCACCTAGATTAATAAATCACAATAAAATATAAATGTTAAAAAGATTATATCCAAATACCAATGTTTAGGTGATCTAACTATTGAAGTGCAGCATTGCTTATATGAAAAAAAATCATATACTGGAGTAGTATATGCCCTCAGTATTATAGCTGTTCACAGTGTGATCTACAGTTTGATGTGGGACCCTGCAATCACACCGAGGGGAGGATGCTACGCCCCCATTTATACAGCAAGTCCTGGCAGATGCCATGTGAGGTATGAATCCTACTCAGGATTGTCCATTGCTGACATGGTAATTCAAAGCCTGGCACCTTTTTTGTAGAGTCATTTATATGTCTTCCTATGTTTGGATGTTCAGGAACCCATTTGGCTTTCCATTGGTAATCGGTGTTAACTTTGTTGAGTAGATGTTGTGCAAGGGCCGGTGGGGGCTTCCTGGATTTGAGTCTTCCTGCTGATAAATGAGGAAGGTCAGCATGCACCGGTAGGAGTGAGTTCATAATTTTTCTGTATTCTCTCACTAGTTCACCTTGGCTTTGTACAGCTGGCAGTGCAATATGGCTGAAAACAGGAAGCCAACAAGTCAGAGTGGCTTTAATACATCTGCTTATCATCCTCATGGTGTCAATGAGTCTGGCGTCTAAGTTACTAGTATGGCAGCTGTTAAGCTGTACAGGAGCACAATATTCTTCTGTGGAGCAGACCAGTTCTAGTGCTAATGACCTGAGGGTGGTGGCAGCTGAAGCTCCCCATTTAGTTCCACATAATTTCTGAAATATACTGTTCCTAGTATTGATTTTTTTCCCTACCATATTCTCTAGATGTACCTTATAGGAGAGAGTCCGGTCCAATATTATTCCAAGAGCCTTTGGATAGGGGCTATAGGGGAGTAAGCTATTTAAGTAGACTTCGGGGCTTCATATGCTGGTTTGTTAAGGTGGAAGGACATTGTTACTGTAGTGCTAGGAGTGAGCCTCCAGTCAGAATAATTTTCCAAAAATCTTAAGATCTTTGGACAGAGGCTTTCTGCCAGCTCCATGTGTTTTTCTTGTACTGCGATGGCCAAATAATCAGCATATCCAAATTTGCATCTCTTTGTCTCTGGCATATCTGATATATATAGAAGTTGAATAGGTGCCACTACAGAGCCTTGTGGGAGACCATTGTTTAATCTTACCTTACTTATATTGTCCCCCATTATTATCTGAAAGGACCTATCACTAAGCATGTTGTTAGTCGATAGAGACTTTTGCAGGGCAGAATACGGCACAGTTTGTATAACAACCCATCCTTCCAATCTGGACTGCATGCTGCAGTTAGGTCTGTGAAGATGCCCGTGGTTTTTCGATCTCGTTGTAGTCCTGCTTCAGTATAGTATATTAGGCTTAGCACCTGATCCACGCAACTCTGGTTTTGTAGGAAGCCAGCTTGTTCCACGGGCAGATGTTCATCTGTTATAGGACTATCCTGTTTATAATTCATCTTTCCAGGAGTTTGTAGCAGGAGATCAAAAGGACAACTGGGCAGGAACTTTCAACTCAGTCTTGTGGTTTATCATGTTTTAGAAGTGATATTATTTTAGTTTTTTAAAATTTGGCTGGGAGGCAGCCATTGAAAACTACATCTGAGAGGAATTTACCAATCCAATTCTGTGTGTGCCTCCTGGTGTTATTAGGAATTCTGGATGAATGCCATCGAAGCCTGGGGCTTTACCATGTTTCAGGCTATTAATGGCAAGGTCAATTTCTTTTATAGAGAAGGAGCAATAGTACTTAGAATGCATTTGGCCCAACTGCTGAAAAGCTGAAAGCGCTCTCTGGCTGAAAGCAGGGTGTCCTTTCATCCTTTGAGTTCGAATTGAGAGGCTATTAGATCAGGAGTTAAGTTGGATGTTTGTTGTGCAGGCTGTCTAGCTTCACCCAGTTTCCTTAACAGGCTCCCAGCTTTCCTGCTGGATTTGCTGAAATTTAGTGATTTTGTGTATTGTTCCCACATCTTACATTGAGTTGCATTCAAACTGTGAAAGAGATCATGGTGATCTCCAGATTGCTGCTCTGTAGGAAAGTCTGATAGAGTCCTTTTGTCTCTTCATTCCATATCGAGATGTACTCTCTTCTTAATTGTCGAAGATTGCAAGGGCAGGCAAAGGAAAACTGAGGATCAGAA